TCCCCTTATGTAACACACCTCAAAGCCACACTGCAACATGCACAGACGTTTTATACTTATAAAAACAAATTATCTCGTTTGTAACATTTTTTCTCTATTTTGAAGTATTTTTAGAACCTTGCATACCTAAGTGACTGAAGAGGATTTTTTCACTGTCTCAAGTTCTTTTTACTTTCAGAAAATCTTCCTTTAATCTATATTCATTGTTGTCTGCATATACTTGTTTCAATGGGAATATACTAATGGCATTTTTCTTCATTTCGTTCTTAATCGCTGGTTCTGAAAGTATTTGGAATTATACCAATAAATGTAAGAATCAAAACAGAAAAATGTGGCTTCAACATAAGATACTCTAAATAAACCAAGGGTGTCTTTGTTTAATTAACCAGATTACTTGACAAAATATGGGATACACTCCTAATTTCTGACCGCAAATCGGGAGGCGAGTTTTAAGGGATGTGATTTAGGACTTTATCTGCACAGTCCAACATGCTCCGTCTCACCTATTGGTTCCAGATGTCTCTTAACATTGCAGGGATGTAATAACACCGTTCTTCACAGTCGTTAATATGGAGAAATTAGATAAATATCAAGTGGTAATTTAATTACTGGAAAACGTTTACACACACTGATCTTGTAAACGGCACGTGAGGGATAGAGAGTTACATAACAACATCGTTACTGTATTCGCTCCCCTTTTTGAGATTCGTTTGCGAATTATAATATTATTAGATTATTTTAGTTCGTCATTAAAGTATTCACAAAACAATTCATAGCTTTTGCTCGGGACTGAACTAATACGCTTATACATATTGAGTCAGGTTCGTCGATGAAGTTTACTACCAGGAGCAATAAAAAGTGGTCTTATTGTACAGATGCCCTTTTTATAGAGATTCAAATAGGAAACAAATGTCCTCTATACACAGATATTCATAATACGGAGTCGGCCTTACAGCAGAATTGATTCAATCTTGCATTTCAAATGACTATTCATGTTAAAGGCATATAGCAAATTTCAGCGGAAAGCATTAAGAAATATTTACACAAATGCAAAAGCTCTCCTAGAGGAATTTTGATTGATGAAGTATTATTACATAATCCTCATATCATGAGTCAAGGCCCCATGTGATGCAGAGCATACTTTATATCATTCACAATAAAGATATCTGCTTTCTAATTTTTCCATGGGAATCAATATGTTCTTCCTTTTGTTTCGGCACGTTCACCTGGCTTCCTTTCGAATTTTTATGTTTATATCTTGTGTGATTTTTCCTTGAACGTTGACTATGGGATATTTGTTTTCTTTCAGAAACCACAATGTCTGTCTCATAAATCTAATACCTTTTAGCTTTTAAAATATATATTTGCAGGTAGAAAAGACAGGAAAGACGAGACGGAGATCCGAAGGCTCCTGATCATTGATAATTTTGTTAAAGATGCTAAGGTTACGTTTCACCACCAGTCTATAGGCTGGTTAACAAGTCTTTGCAGAGGCAAGACATTAATACACACTACCATTCGTTATATCCCTGCTGATAACGCATTAGGAAGTAATTAACACACTGTTATTCATTCCTTTGTCCCCTACCGTGGAATATGTCTTCACCCCATTAGGACTCGCATGTTGTATGGCTAATTTCATTAAGTCGGAAGTGTGTATTTTGACCCTCCTCGTTCATCAGCAAAACCATTGTTATGTTCATACTAATTTTGATTCTCATTCATAGTCCGCTCCTTGCTGTAGGTAATTATCACAAATGTGATTAACACATGAGACGTTTACTTGCAGACGGTGTCCGTTTTACGTATTGTTGTTGCAGCACTTAAAATCCCAAGCAGCCATTCCCGGAGAAAATGTAAATTGGCATTTCTCTAGCGAAAAAAAAAACTTGTAAAAATTGTATGATGTCTGTATATATGAACATCGGTATACACGTACTACTCTTGAAAAAAAAACCCTGGACAAACGAAAAATATTAGCTCCTTGAGATTAAACACAGTAGTGCACCAGTCTTTCCAATGTCAGATATTTTTTCTTCACTTTTATTTTTTTTTCGATAGCATTTATGAAAAGTCTAACTGAGACTGAAGTTCGGATTTATTGCCTCTAAACGTTAACAATGGATCATTTGTACATTTCATTCTTTCCTATCTCGATCTTTTCCTACGAGCCAACAGGGCCAGATTAAACCCGATCTGTAGGCTTAGCGTGATGGCTTCGATCTCCCTAAATTAACTTTTATATTTACATATAGTAACATTCCTGCTTCACATAGTCTTATTCTACTTGTACTTTTTTTCAACGGTCCTCGTGTAAATCTGTCGTTTGTTTGTATTTTACTCTCGTTTCATCGCCTTTGAAGAGTTTTAGTTAAGATACTTTTGGCGTGTCAGAATTTTGTTGTTTTCTGTGATCATTGCTACAATATCAAAGACGTATCGCATGAATGTACACGACTCATATTGTATGCTGAAAATGTGCACCAACTTAAATGTGAACAACACTCTTACAAAAGATGTGTGTTCCCTTGTTTTCTCTTGGCACTTGACCTTAAAAATAAACACTCACGAAATGCTCTAGTTCTAGATATCCATATTAACTATGAAACTTTTAATCATATAAATTTGTGAATGAAGAGTGCCTACGAAATACTGAAAATAAAACTCCACGGAGATAAATATATTTGCAGTAATTCCTCAATAAAAGCATGGTACGCGTTGATGTCGATAAGGACACATATCTTATTATATCTATTTACCACGAAGATCCAAGTTACTATATAGAACTATGTAAGAATAGATATTTCTATGTGAATTTATTTAAATAACATTTTATGCTAAAATACATCAAGCCATGGGGTAAATTATACAAATTCAAACTCCAAAGTTTCAAAAGAATCCCTTTTTTAATTTCATATACAAAATTAGAAAATTATTAATTAAGCTTCTCAAGAGCACCATGTCGGTTTTCAATGCAAATAACTATATGCTTGACAAACATAAGCAGTAGGACATTTTGAAGATAATGACTTGCTTCATTCAAATATAAGAGGACGTGATTTGCATTTCTTTCACATAGTATGAATGATCATTTAATTGTAGGGTACCTTCACTTTTTATAATGTTCACTGTATATTTCTCATTACACAACCTGATAGCCATGATTCAGTATCTGTAGATCCCTATATATATAACTATTTCTTTCTGAAGGTATTTATAACGTTATATAATGTACAGGAACTGCGTTCAACACCGTATTTGTATTATGGATTCCTCACCGCACTGCATATATCTCCGACAAAATTCCTTAAGTACCCAAATAATGACTCCTGCCATTCTCGTTCAACATCCAGACTATAAATATCATGTCTATGCAAAAGTGTGCACGATTAATTTCGACAAAACTTTAACGCGGAAGACACTTTAACTCTCGCCCCATACATCCCCACCTCCACCACAAACCCTATAAGAATCCCAATCAAAACATCAGAAATGGGCGGGAATAAGTATCTAGTTTAGTTTGTAAATAATCTGATATATTAATTTAAGGTAACGAATTATGTACATTTTCCTTTAGTTATAATATCATTTCACTAGGAAAAAGGGTTCATAATAAAGACATTTATTCTGTATTCCATATCTAAAAGTTAAACCTGTTTTATTTTTCAAAACAACCTCTTGTTAAACCCTTCTCAGATAGGTCTTTGATTCAAAACCACGAGACGTAACAATCGTCTTCATATAGAATCCCTGAATGGAGCTCTGATGTTTGACGCTGTGTTTCACGTGCCACGCCCCCTCTCACCTCCACTGTTCATCTCGTCATAATATATATAATGTTTCAATTTTATCTCTATCTCCCGGTGAGGGGAGGAGAAACTGATATTTTCAATTGATCTTAAAAATTGAATTGACCTTGGAGTGGAAAGAATTGCTGTAGACTAATTTGCTCCGCTGAGTGTGATGATCTAGACACCGGGCCTGGCACAGGGTACTCCTGATAAGCATGGCTAGAGAACGGCCTTTAAACCAATTTTCGTAGTTAATTATCAATATCTTGAAGCATGATGTCCCAATTAATTGAAATCTGAAGTACGCTGAAATGCCAGTATCATACCAATGATACCTTAAAGGTAAAAAGGTAAAAATAATTATATTGTATTAAATGTCGATAACTAGACATCAATATTGATTAAAATATAAGATATATTGTACATAACAGCAGGTATCATACCACCAAAATTATATTTAAATTCTTCACAAACATAAACACAATCTATATACCTAATGAAAAACTGTATGGTTTTGATAGAAAGCGGGAAAGAATAGGTGTTTTGACTAATATGAATGCTGACATCTATACGCATGTATGTAAGGACCTCTCGTGTATCGAGATAGCATCGCTGCACGTGTAATCACTATAATTTTCCTGATAAACGTACCGAAGTGCCCGCCAATGTTTTCCAAGGTTACCTAGTTTTTTTTTAACCGTCATTAACATGTTAACCACGGAATCACGTGCTATTACTAATTGATCATCCACCAGATGTTTTCAACACGAGTATTGGTTTTTGGTTATATACAACATCTATATATATATATTGTTCCGATTGACATACCTAGGCAAGTGTTATATACTTACCTCTATTACTTACTACATACGATATCTACAAGATATACCGAGACGATATGATAGTATACTGTCTGACCGTAAAGGATATGTGTAGAGGAAAAAGGTTAGGTTAGTTAAAAACCTTTGTTAATAAAAAGCATTATAGAATCAGCAGTATGCAGAAATTAAAAGCTTAACACAACACATATACATTATCAGAAATATTTGACGTCCTAGTTACGATATCTGGTAGGAGAAAAATGATTGACGGTTCGGATAGTGAATGGGCTTCCCCAAACGTGTTAACAAGACAGGGACTTTGGTGAAGATCAGTGCGGCGGGATATAACCCCCTCCCTGAGTGAGTGAGTTACTGTAGCGGTGTGTGTCTGGCCGTGTAGAGAGTCACGCGGTGTGTTAGGGGGAGGAGACATACACTGGCATACTACCAAATAGAAAAAAGTCAAGAGTCGACCGCTGTCCAAAGTATCTTGTCGGCTCTCAACTGTTCACCTTATAAAATGAATAGTATATATGTCTAATTCTAACGATGGGATTTATACATGATCGCTATGGGATAGAGCAAAGGATTAATAACAAGGAATTATTGGATGAATCTGATCTGAGAGTGTCATTCCTCGGTTCGGAGTACTGGAGAAGTTGTAACTATCGGAAGGATGAAAATACTTTGACTTTATCACCATCTATGTAGTGTTTTCACATCTTCGAAAATAATGTACCATGATTTTGTGGATTCTAGTAACTTTTCATCTAATGGTATGTAAATTCTCTGTTAGGATAGTCACAGCGGAGGTCCGACTCAAAAGGAGTAAGTACACATATATTTTACTTTTGTTCTATTTTATCAACAGATACCTGTGTTTACATAAGTCCATGCTTGTATACTTATGCAAGTACCTGTATAATTTACATTCACTTACACGCTTCGCTTACAAGCATACTGATGTTTGATGTTTACAGGAAGTTTACCTGTAAATATAAACATATTTTAAACATAGGTTTAATTATGAATATGATTGATCTTAGTGCGTACTGTTGCACGTGTTTCACTCTGTATCTTTCGTTACATCTGTTATATGAAGGGTAATGCTTGTTCTGAGAATACCACCCAATGTCTAGTACCCTAAGTATCAACCTTGGGACGAACGTGTAATATGTCTGACAAGTAGAGACAAAAACATTGTTCCTGACCCAATGACAGCTCCGTGGTGATTAACTTTTCTGGTGGTACCTAGCCAAAGCATCATGCAATACATCAGCGATTGTAAATTGAATTAGTATATCCGATGTTGTACTGTTGTACTATCATTTTTAAAATTAAAATGTATATCTCTGCCAATCCAAAACAAATCATAAAGTGAACATATATTTATATGAAAAATAGATTTGATGAACATTTTAATGATAATACCAAACAAAAGAGGAAAATCTTATATGCTTAAAATTATTTGAAGGGTTTTGTTATTTATCTACTACTACCAACGTTTTATTTACTTTTTTCAGTTGCATATTTCTAAGTGTTGATTACTCCGTGAAGGTTACAAACCATCCACATGATACACAGTATGTGGTTTCCTGCTAATGTACGTTGCAGATTATATTATACACTTGTTACGTCTTTGATGATGATAAAATTAAATCTAACAAATCTCAAAAGAAGGGAATAATGATTTTTAGCACAAGGATGTTGTTAAAATGAGTAGTATTAACATCATGTTTTAATGATATAACCTCTTCTCGTATAGGGGCGGTTTGAGATAGCCTCGTTAAGGATGAAAGGACACAGAAAAGCTCTCTGTAATAATGTTTCATGTATTCGAGGTGCTTTCGTCCATGCAATTGTCTATGTATTCATTAAGCTGATAAGAGGGCATATAGATGCAGAACTTGCTGAAAAAAAGCTCTCCCGAAACCGGTAGTTTATTGCACCGAATTATATCTTAGTTATACTTTGCGTAGTGTTGTCAGACTTCTTTGATATGCTAGGAACACTGGAAGGTCGGGAAGAAGAGGGGCAGATACGTTTGTATCAATTCCATCATACTGTAACATTGAAAGATGAATCTATACCAAACCTGGTTTCAATTACTCCACCAATTGTATGTCTAACCTTTTAGCATTTAAAATACAAATGTGATGGCTATGTTCCCTGTAGATAATATTAGGGTACGCGTTACACAGACTGCCCTCACCTCACCAATTTGGTAGACGAAGCTGTGCTTATTAAACGCCTCAAAGTGCGAAATGTAAATTGCAATTTGTTTGATCAAAACCCTTGTAAGATTAATGTGTTAAAGGAGGTGCTCGAAGTGCGGTTTTATGGGTGCCTGTATCGTTAACAGAAAAAGAGGAAAATATTTCGCGATATGCACGACATGATATTATAAGGAGAATTTCAACCTAAGTGTGAAAAATTACTACTTTTTTTTGCTGTAGAGAAAAAAATATGCTACTGTTTTCTGTGGCTTAGACAATATCAATGGTTTACGATTTATGATAATCATTAATGGATACATTGGGAGTTAAATAACATTTAAATTCTGCTAATAGCGTAAAGATAAATATATTGTACAGAAAGACCTCTTTAGATATCTGTGAATTTTATGATATTTTATTGTTTGTGAATATCTCGCCGGAAGACATTTATATCTACACTTTATTACCTGCTATCTCTCCACTCCAATCAAACATCTGAATGACTTGCGGCAAACGTTTTGTCGGAATATTTCTAATCAACAGTAAGTTATGACCTGTTGACTTCCTGTGTTTTCTGTATGGTTCAAATGTTTTCATTGTACTTACGTATAGACAGAAGTACATTTATTATTAGTTTTAAAATAAGAGAACGATATTCGTTACAGCTTGAAGTTGACTTCTTCTCCGACGTGCCAATTTCGTAAGATTTGATAGACATTTATACACGTGCGTTGTATCACTATAAGAAGAACTATTGATACTTACCGGGTTTCTTTTAATCATGAAGATTGATGGAGTGTTACAACATTACAGTATCAAGGAATAAATAATCGTGTCTTTTTATTCACAGTCTGTTATTGTTCAAATATTTAGGGTATTGCCAACACTTTGGTTTAATGACAGGATGCCTAGCGTTAATTCTATTGCACCTATTCTGACATTGAGCATTTATATCGAGTATTTTTAGTGACAGATGATGGTTACATAATCATATCGTTGTAGCCGTGAATGTTAATATTGCTATAGTTTTGGTTTAAGCATGTCTTTTCATTTAAAATATAAAGTGATTGATATTGAAATTCGGACAAATCGTTTCAATACGAAGATATTGAAAAATCGAGATATACTTAGACAATGTGAAGAATTACATCAACATGTAGATGCTTTGCTTCAGCGGTATGATTTATTAAACTATATTATGGAACATTAATTCCTTCCGAGCACAAATCTTCCTTTATGTCAACCTGTTAAAAGCGTTTTTTACAACCTATCTTTCTATTCAATACAATATAATAGTAAATACATTGAAGGACTTTGTGGACACTTCCTCACATCATTTTCATATAGAAAAAATTGTCAACACTTTGTCACTGCTTAATGTAACTCAACTACAATGGACGGTATGTTAGCTAAAATTTGATTTCTAGCATTGCAATAAAACACGTCATGACGAATTCAATTTTAACAAAATCGTTGGCTTTATGGGATGATATTTTCTGTCTTAAATTCCAGCTGTACTTATAGAAATACATTGATAATGTTTACACTCGTAAATTTACTACAAAATAACGAAAACTATTGTTAACTATCAATTTCAATGTTAAGGTGACACATAACCTAGCACAAAGTTTGATATATCACCGTCCCATTTTGAAAATAAAAACAACATGTATGAGGTGCTTGACGCGGGTAATTATTAGTGACACTATGGTTTTGAATAACTGGGTTTTTTGTGAGTGTTTTCCCAGTTTTGAGTATGTGGTTTATGTTTTATGATACTGAGCATGTGGTTTCTGATTTTGACATTGAGTAAGCGGTTTCAGTTTTTGATATTGAGTATGTGGTTTATGTTTTGATATTGAGTATGTGGTTTCTGTTTTTGATATTAAGTATGTGGTTTATGTTTTTGATATTGAGTATGTTGTTTATGTTGTATGATACTGAGTATGTGGTTTATGTTTTTGATATTGAGTGTGTGGTTTACGTTTTTGATTTTGAGTATGTGTTTAATGCTTTTGATACTATGTATGTGGTTTGTTTTTAATATTGAGTATGTGGTTTATGTGTTTGATATAATCCAGAGGAGGGTAGGAGACAAGACGTTATTCCCATGCTGATCCGATATCTACCTGTCATCTTGTGCGTAGTAAACCTTTCATCGCTTCAGGCATGTCTACACCTTCTCTCCGCTAACATCTAAACGCTCAGATTCAGTCAATGTCCTCTTCATATCATCTAAACCTTCACACAGGTGTGTTTCACGCACCTGCGTAACGATCCAATTCATGATTGCAGACGTAAATACTAAGATTGTGTATCGATAAAGACTTTATTTGCATATTCATATCCGGATTTTTATTATTGACTAGTATAAAATGTTATTTTCATGCAAACTTTTCCTTTGTTTATTAAGTTTTTGTTATTTATATAGGCAAATACATTTCCGTTACAAATTAGTGGCAGATCCAGGGGGTTTCGAGGTCTTCCGGAGCAACCCTTAGCTAAATTTGCGTCTTCCTTAAACCAAATATGAATATGTAATTTACCTCGTTTTGAGAGACACCGATACGTATCACAATACTACCGGAAATTAATATGAAATTCAAGTTATTTTTTCAGACACATTTCAGAAAAGTCATTTTAACTGTAAATTTCAGCATAATCTCCCATTCAAGATTAACACTAATTGCAGACTTCAAATAATGTTGAAATACGAATTTCTCATATATCTATTACTTTATTAGAAATAAGCAGACAATTATTAACAGGAAATATGATAAATTTCGTCAACGCATCAAATAGTGACCACTATTTGACATAAAACCTGTTGATTACATGTTTTATCATTCTTAAATTTTAAGATTCATGAGCCCTAAATCAGTGCAACTGTTGAAGGTAAACGAACGTACCATACAACATACAACAAACATTTAGCCCTTTTCCGTATGGTGATTTATACAACTATTGCAAAATCCCACTATGTTGATAAATTCTAAGAGAAACGGCATTTTTTTTCAAAATGAAGTCTGGCCTCTTCAGTTTCATAGTAATATTTGTTATGATTTCTTGTAATACATCTGGACAGCTGTTAAATATTTGATGTCTATGATAAGAATGTATATACTTTTATAAATTACATGAGGTTTCTAAAAATAACAGGTGTTTATGTATAATGCTTCGACACTTATTATATAATGATTTTGTTTTGTGTTTTCGTTTTTCATGCTAATTCCATAACACAAGCTATTTATCATACTTAAAGAAGATGTTTGTTGTAATTATTTCACATGTAAACTTTCATAATGTATTTGTGAAATTTATTTAAGATTTTCAACTATTTCAGATGTATATTACCAACCGGATACAGAAAGAAGTCGCTTTAAACTTCAATATATTTTCATTTTCAAACTTTAAATCAATCAGATAAAATACAAAAATAAAATCAAATTGAAAAGTATACATTGTATAGAAATTAATAATCTGCTGATTTGATCAATTTTACATACTGTTACAATGGTTTCAAGTGCCAGTCTTATTACTTGCATGGAAATTTAATAAAGAATTACCACATTATTAAAAACGATTTTTTTTTGCGAAACACTATCCATGAAA